AGTTAGCTAGAATTACGTCCAGAAGCATCCCATTCTTATCAAATAAGTCTTCCTGGAGATGAGTTCCAGGAAACCACTGGACCAGAAAGCCATTCACTTTCCTGTGTGTTGCTGATTTTTTGCAGACATGGCCTCTAGGAGATTGAACACCAGAACAAAATACCTTATAAAACATGACGTAATGGCTACAATTACACATTGCAAGCTCGCTATCTCCTATTGTCAGAGCAATATTTTAACCCTAGCAAGGTGTCAAAGTCCAATATTGTCTTTGGAGAGTCAGTTTTCTAGACTTAGCACATCATTATTCCAAACTCTTGCTACCCATCCCAGGTTCTGTGGTTATGAACTTCCAGAGCTGTCACTGTTCCATGTATCAGGGCACACTGAAGTTATAGAAAATGGCTAGGGTTTTTATAGGGAAGCATTGTGTCTGCCTAGGTGGTCTGACTGGCTTCCTGCCTCTGATGTCACAGGCCAGGAGGAACAAGAACTCTGCCATGGAGCATGAAAGAATCTAGGCACAGAAGATTCCATAAAAGGGAGAAGTGTGCAAGCCAGTAAGGTAATTATTTTCAGATCAGAGACAACTGGCAAGAAATACCAGGCCTCCCAAAACAGGGTTTTTTTGAGGCTATCAAGTTAACATAAATATCTTTTGGTTTGGGGTCAGCAGTTGGTAAATGACAGAAATTTACAGAAACAAGTACAATATTTTTGATGTCTTTTGTTTCTTTTTTTGTTCATTGTTCTTATATTTGTTTTATCTACTTGAATACTTGTCCCTGTAAGGAGATTAATTTTGATCTTTTCTTTAACAGGTTGGTGATCAGGTTGTACATAGCTGATTCATGAATGACTCCCTCATATCAACAACAAATTGTTTCCTGTTAAAATAAAATCCATCCTTTTTTTTTGGTGATAGTTATGTGGTGTTCTCTATGTCCTGTACTTCCTAATTCTTTTCTCATAGGAAGTGTTTATAATACGTAGGCATGAGGCTTTGGTGTAGTCTACAAGCCTTTGTCTTTCTTGATTCCTTACTCTTATACCATATTTTATTTTTTATAATTTAAAATTTTTTCTTTTTTGTTATTATAAATTAGACAAATATGAGCATTTTCTTGTACAAAGAACAAAGAAAGTGTATTGAATATGACACCATCAAACTATTAAACATAACTTATATACACACACATATGTGTGTGTGTGTGTGTGTGTATATATATATATATATATAATTTAACATTTTCCAGCTTTCCCCATTCTGAACTTCCTTTTGCTTTTTTTCTGTGTATTAAAAAAATGTTTTGGGGCAGCTAGGTGGCTCAGTGGATATAGCACCAGCCCTGAAGTCAGGAGTACCTGAGTTCAAATCCAGCCTCAAACCAAACACTTGACATTTACTCGCTGTGTGATCCTAGGCAAGTTGATTAACCCCAATTGCCTTTAAAAAAAAGTTTCATGGATGTTCTCTTTTTTTCTTTCTTTCTTTTGTTATCACTATCATTAGCTCCTCCCCTCCCCCATTTCCCCTATAAATTATTCCCTCCAAGGTTCCTCACATAACAAATGAGTATAACTAAACAAGACAAATATACACTGAAATGAAAATTCATTGTCTAACCTTATCTTCTACTACAATTGCAGCTCATGATTATATATAACACAAACAACAATTTATGAAGTGCCTAGTAAATTTAAGGCGCTTTGTTTGATGCTAGGTGTACAATCACAAACAAAAAAATAGCACTTGGTAATTTATAAAGCATTTTTGTGTTATGATACTTATCTAAAGATGAGGAAACTGAAGTTTAGCCTGGTTAGATAGGGCAGAGCTTTTAACTTAGGTCCTATGCCTTTAAGTCCAGTACATTTTCCACTATGACATGTTGTCTCTCACTTCCTGTTATTTCCCATAACATGTTTTCTACTTTAGTTGCCTCTTTACTGAACTCCACACAACTTATACATCCTCATTCTAGACTTTGTTCCTTCACTTATTGTGTTCACAGGACTGTAGGAATTACATCCAGAAGAGACTTTAGAGATCAGCTCATCCAATCCCCGAGCCAGAATTTTATAGATAAGGAAACAGGCCTAGAAAGGAGGATTTGACTGAGGTTGCACAGTTAATAAGAGCCAATATTTGAACGTGGGTCCTCTGGATTCAAATTCACTTCTCTTTATCATACCCTCTTCCTTGTATATCCCTATGCTACTATACTTCAAAGTCACAAAGAGCAGAGCTAATGAATAGCAAATGAACCTACTTATTCAAGTCAATAGCAAATAGAAATCAAAGAGGAATTCAAATGAGAATATACTAGACAGTACATAGAGTGAATGAGCTCTCCCACTAGGAGTGAAATATTTCAGTTCAACAAAGAGAAAGAGTCCCAGATTTCACCCAAAGGGAAATTCCTCAATCTTGAGTATAGTAATCTGGGGATACAGACATGACCAAGGTGCTGGCTCCTCTAAATGTTGGTTTCTTCCCAGAGTCTTTCCCTGCCTTCAAGGATCTGTTCCTGAAGAGATTCTCCTCTCTGGAAGCTAGAAGACCAGGATCTCTCCTCTCTCAAGGTCTTGCCAGCTATGTCTCTCCAAAAGTTGAGGCATATTGGACAATCAATTTCCATTAAAGAGGAGAATTATATGCTAAGGGTTACACATGGAAATGAAAGCCCATGTGACTTATAAACACCTGATAATTCAACCTGAGATGTACACAGAACCCATGAAGAAGAGTAGTATAAAATAAGACTTGAAAGGAATTATAGAGGTAGTTTATGGAGGCTTTTACCACACTAAGGAATTTGCATTTTGATAATAATAGCTCGCATTTATATAGCACCTTAAGACTTGCAAAGCACTATACATGTTCTCTCATTTGATCATTTCATCCTTACAACCTACTACCCAGTAAGGTAGGTTTTGTTATTATCCTCACTTTACAGATGAAGAAACTGGGACTGAGGTTAAGTGATTTGCCTAGTGTCAGTCCCACAGCTAGTAATTATAGGAGGTGGGATTTAAATTCAGATCTATTCTCTATATCTAGAGCTCTTAACCACTGTGCCCCCTAGCTGCCTCTAATTTTATCTTTTGTTTTATCCTTTGAGCCAAAGAAGTCATGAAAATTTTCAATTAGGACAGTGATACTATCTGAACTGTACTGTTTTATCCTTGACCATAGAATTTATGAAAATTTTCAAGTAGGACGGTGATATTATCTGAACTGTACATTAAGAAGATTTTTTGGACAATTATATAAAGGATGGATCAGAAAGGAGGCATGGCTGGTGGAAGAGAGACAATCAGCTGTTGTATTAGAAGGCTAATACAGTGGTCGGATGAGAAGTATTGAGGGCCTGAACTAAAGTTATAGCCGTATAATTGGATAGAAGAAAACAAATTTGAGAGATTGAGGGGTGAGGGCAATTGCTTTAATATGGAGAGTAAAAGGGAGTTAACACTTGAAGATAAAGGTATGGTCCACAAAACCAGGGCAGGAGAACGAATCTGTTTGGGGTAGAAAATGAGCTCCATTTTGAACTTGTGTTTGAGGTGCTAGTGGGACATCCAAATACTGACATCCCGCAGGCAGTTAGAAATCACCTGTGCTCAGTAGATAAAATCTTGCAGGCTGGCATAGCTGCTGAGTTGAGAACAGAGATAGCAAGACAGCCCTCACTGATCTGGGTGCCAGTTTCTGGACTATATCAATTGTAGTTTGAATGAACACCTTTACTAGGTGTGAATCCAATAAACTTTATAAAAGAATTAACAGGATTTGGGTGTAGATTGGTTATAAGAGGTTTCAATCTTAGATGACCTCAGAGAATGGCAGTCATTGGCAAAAGTTGGTAAGTAGGAAAAGGAATTTGATTTATGAGGGAAGATGTTAAGTTTATAGGATCGTGATCTAGAGCTGGAAGGGACCTCCTCAGAGGTCTAATTTCTTCTTTTCACAAAAGAGAAAACTGAGGCCCAGAGTGACTTTGACCAAGGTCACATAGGTAGTGTCAGAGGTGGGATCAGAATCCAGATGCTGACTCCAGAGCCAGAAACTGAGGACCAGAGAGGTTAAGGAACTTGCTTAGGGTTACATCAAACCTAGTTCTTTCCACTACAGTTGTGATTAGGTTGAATTTGAGTCTTCTAAGCCAGAGCATCCTCACATCCTGATGTCAGTTGGCGGTGAAAAGGACTAGAAGTCTGCTGAAAGGTCAAGGAGTGGAGGGTTTTAGAATTACTAATCTTAGAGGTGTTGAAACCCTAAGAGTGGATGAAACCACAGGACACAGAAAATCACAGTAAAGAAAGAACCTGAAGGCTCCAGGATATATGCAAGTTGAGGGGGAAATGCTGAATATAAACAAGCCAAGAACATAACACCTTCAGGATGTCATCAAAGAAGGGGAAATTTACTAGAATTTCAAGGCCTTTATAAAACTCTTCTTTGTAACGTCATGACTATCCTGTTTTGGGGGTGGAAAGCCCTGGATTTCCAGTTGAAAGTTCTTACTGCCCGAGTGAATGGGGCAAAGCACTTAACCTCCCTAGATCTATTTTCTCATCTGTAAAATGGATAACACCTAAGTGTCTCTTATCTCCAAACCTCATGAAACCCGGCCCCATTCTGAACCCTGCCCGGGACGCGTCTTTGCTTCAGGAGCCTTAGGACGCGAACTTAAGGTCCGCTGCAGGGAAGACTGCACGCAGGGCAGCAGCAAAATGTTCCGGGACCATGGAGTAAAAGTGGGGGTTTTCCGAAATGAAACCCCCGATTTTTCCTCAAGGCTCTGGGATTTCCACAAGGCTGCCGGATTTAATCTGCAAACCACCACGGCATCTCCAGGACAGCTCTGACCTAGTCCCTGCAAGCCGGCCCCAGGAGAGGTAGCTGTTGCTGCAGCAGCTGTGCCAGCTGATGGGCGGCCCACCCCTTCCGGGTGCACCCCACTGCGCCTGCGCAGGGGTTGCCATAGCGACGCCGCCCAACAATCTCCAGACCTAGCCTAGCCCGGCTTGACCTAGGACGTAAAGGCCGCCACCATGAGCCGAGTGGTGACCGTCGAGCAGCCCCCTCCTCAGCATCCTCGGTTCCGGCAAAGGCTAGGGCGTGGAGGCACCGTAGCCAGCGGGCGACTGTATGACTACCTGTACGGTAAGAATGGGACCCCGGCTCTACTCGCCTCCCACCGACCCCCAGAGTGGGCGGGAACTCCGTCTTCCGGTAGAGGGAGAGGAGGCTGGAGTCGGTTAGAGCCAAACTTAAGTGTCATGTCTACGCAGGCACTGGGTTTTTCGGAGATTCGGAATCGCGCGCCCTTGGGATGCGCAGCGGCAGCGCTCCTCCGCTCCTGACTCCCCATCGGCTCCTCACTGCGCAGGCGTGGGCTTTGAGTGCGAGGTCATCAGGGAGCCGTCGGGGCCGAGGCTCCTTCTGTTCAATGAAACCTACCTTTATTAAGCGCTTCCTGTGTGTGTGGCACCGTGTGCCGGGAAAAAACGGCACAGACCCTGCCCTCAGGAAACTTCAGTTCTTCTGGGGTGGGAGAGGCATCGTGCACACCAATAAGGTGTCGGTCAGTAAGCATGTGTTAAGCCATTGGATGTGCCAGGCTCTGCAGTAAGCGTTGGGAAACGAAGAGTGGGAGATAAGCTAAAACAAAAAAACAAGGGTCCCTGCCCTCAAGGAGCCCACCTTCTGATGGGGGAGACGACATACAAACAAGATATTGACAGGTTAAATCTGAGATAATCTCAGAAGAAAGAGGCAGGCTCAGAAGAAAGGGACTTCTGTTAATGGGGATCCAGAAAAGCTTCTTGTAGAAAGCGAGATTTTGATTGAGAACAAAGTGATTCCCAAGGAAAAGGTGCATTCACCATGGAGAATATCAGGAAGTGCTGCTTACAAGAGGTGGGCTCTTGAGCTAAGCCCTGAAAAGAACAAGATAGCATGTGTTGTGTTGCTTGAGGAAGTCAGGTAGCATAGAAACAGAACTGCCATGCCAATTCAAATCATGAGATCATAGATTTAGAGCTGGAAGAGACCTTCACCATTGAGCGTTTTGGTCCATCAAACCTGAACAATGTGTTCAGTTGTTTTTTGGATGCTTCCAACTGGATGTCCTGTAGACATATGTATCCAAAACACAACTCATTATTTTCTCCCAAAAAACTCACCCTTCATGCTAATTTTCTGTCAAGATCATTACTAACTATTCTTCTGTAGTTACCAAGATTCACTTTGCAATAATTCTTAACTCTTCATTCTCTCTCATCACATATTTAATCATTTGCAGGTATTTTAGGGTTGTTTTCAGTGGCACTTGTTCCAAAACCATCAGTTATCCCCAATTATACCTGAGGTGTCTTATGTATACATGTAAACACATATATGTAAATATGCACACACACATACATGTATGTACTGTGTGTTTATTAGTTCATATTCCTGTAGTTCATCATTTTACAGTGTTCTCCCCACAATGCCTCTGTGAAGCATGTGGTATAAATATCATTTTGTCTGTGTTGTACATGAGGAATAGAGAGAAATGACTTGCTTGGGGTCAGAGCCAGGTTTTGAATCTCTAGTTTCCAAGTCTAGCACTCATTCCCTTGTACTTTTTTTTTTTTAGGCAATGGGGGTTAAGTGACTTGCACAGCTAGCTAGTAAGTGTCTGAGGCCAGATTTGAATTTAGGTCCTCCTGACTCCAGGGCCAGTGTTCTATCTACTACCCCAAATCAATCGAACTATTTCTCCATCTACCATTCTCTGTGTGTCTCTCAGTCTCTGTCTCTCTGTCTCTGTCTCTATCTGTCTGTCTGTCTCCCTCTCCCCTGTCCCCTTTCTTCCTCTGGTCTCTTTCCTGAATTCCAGATCTTCACTACCAGTTGTCTGTTGGACATTTCCAACTGGATGTCTTGTAGACATTTCAAAATTGACATATCCAAGACATAGCTCACTATTTTTCCAGGGAAAAAAACCCCAAAAATAAAAATCTCACCCTTCTTGCTAAGCTAACTTTCTGTCAAGGTCATTACTATCCTTCTAGTCACCTGGGTTCACTTTGGAATAATCCTTAACTCTTCCATTTTCCCTCATCCCCTATCCCATATTTAGTCACTTGCCAAATTCTGGATTCAAACAGTACAACAGCTCTTGCACCTGTCATCTTCTCTCCATTTACATGATTACCGCCCTAGTTTCAGTCCCTTAACAACTCTTTTCTGAGCTATTGCAATAGCCTCCAAATTGATGTTCCTGACAAGTTCTTTTCCTCTCCAACCCATTCTCCACACAACTGCCAAGCTGATATTCCAAAAGCACAGGTGTGATGAGTTCATAAACCTGCTCATTGAACTTCAGTAGTGACTTCTTGACTTTAGAGTAAAATTGAATTTCTTCTGGAAAATTTAAAGCCATTCACAATCTGGCTACAGCTTACCTTTCCAGCCTTCCCGCCAAACTGTCCTGCTGGTTGCTCCCCATGCACAGCCTTCTATCTCTCATCTCCATGCCTTTATATACATGCGTGAAATGCAGTCCCTCCTCACTTCTGTCTCTCAGAGTTCCTGTTTTCTTTCATTCCCACACACGAAGCCTTTCCAGCTCTACACTTTCCCCTATTCCCTTTTGCTCATTGTTAGTGTCTTCCATCCCCAAATCATATAATTTTTTTGTATTTATGTATTTGTGTACATGTTATTTCCTTCAATAAAATGTAAGCTCCTTGTAAGAGGACCAGTTTCATTCTTTTATTTGTCCCAAGCACAGTTTAGTAAAGGTTTAATAATTGCTTGTTGAATTGAATAACATAAATCTGTTAACCTCTTGTTATAAAAACATAAAGCTGCATACATAACTGATTTAAAAACTTTTGATTTTCAGTTCTGAATTATCTCCCTTCCTCCTTCCTCTTCCCACCCATTAAGGAGGCAAGTAATATCATACCCATTATATAATTGAAGTCATGGAAGGCACATTTCCACATTAACTATGTTGCCAAAGAAGAAGAAAAGAAAGAAAGAAAAAGACAGGGAAAGAAAATATACTTCAGTATATACTCAGAGTCTGTCAGTTCTCTGGAGGTGGATAGCATTTTTCATCATAAGTCCCTGGGAATTGTTGTGAATCATTGTATTGATGAGAGTGTCTAAATCTTTCACCATTGATTATCATTATAATATTGCTCTTACTCTATACAATGTTCTGTTTCTGTTTTGCTTTGCATCAGCTCATATAAGTCTTCCCAGGTTTTTCTGAAATCATCTCCTTCATAATTTCTTACAGCATAATAATATTCCATCACAATCATATACCACAACTTGTTTAGCCATTCCCCAATTGCTGGTTGTTGTTGTTAAGTTATGGCAGTCATATCCAGCTCTTAGTGACCTTATTTGGGGTTTTCTTGGCAAAGATACAGGAGTGGTTTTCCATTTTCTTCTCCAGCTCATTTTACAGATGAAGAAATTAAGGCAAAAAGCATTAAGTGACTTACCTGAGTAAGGTCATACAGCTAGTAAATATCTGAGGCTAGATTTGAACTCGTCTTCCTGACTCCAGGTCCTATGTTTTATCTGCTGTGCCATCTAGCTGCCCCAATTGATGGGCATCCCCTCATCCAATTCTTTGCCACCATTAAAAGAGCTGCTATAAATATAGTTGTACATATAGGTAATTTTCCTTTTCCTTTGATTTCTTTGGGTTACAGGCCTAGTAGTGGTATTGCTGGGTCAAAAGGCATGCAGTGTTTTATAGCCCTTTGGGCATAGTTCCCAATTATTCTTTAGAAGGGCTGGACTAGTTCACAAATCTACCAACAGTGCATTAGAGTCCCTATTTTTCCACATCCCCCTCAAACATTTGTCATTTTCTTTTTCTGTCATATTAGTCAATCTGATAAGTGATAAAGAGTGATTTATATTTAGATTTCCTGTGACTATTAATAGCTTTTTGATTTCTTATTCTGAAAACTGCCTGTTCTTATTCTTTGACCATCTGTAAATTGAAGAAAGGTTCTTATTTTTTATAAATTTGTATTAGTTCCCTATATATTTGAGAAATGAAACCTTTATCAGAAAATCTTACTGTAAATTTTTTTTCTCAATTTCCTGTTTTCCTTCTAATTTTGGCTGCACTGGTTTATGTAAATCCTATTTAACTTAATAAAAATTATCCATCCCCTCCCCCCGTCCCCAAATCTTTTCTGTCTCTTATTTGGTCATGACCTCTTCCCTTATCCATAGATCTGAGAGATCTTTTTTCCATGTTCCCCTAATTTGCTAATGATATATCACCCTTTATGTCTAAATCATATCCCCATTTTGAGCTTATCTTGGAATACAGTGTGTCAACCTGGAAGAACTCAGACCAGCTAGGTGATCAATAAATGAAGTGAAGCTGAACCATGACCATGTTAGTAACATGGACCTCAAAACGAAAGGCAAAGCGATCTATAGACAACCTTGATTTCCAAAAAAGGGGAGCAAGGTACATGCAAGGAGAATGAGAAGTCCCTGAAAATAGGGCAGATTAAAACCTCAAGGCCAAAAGGGAGCCAGTTAAGAAGGTGAGCAATCCACTAGTGGTGGGAGGGCTCAGACTCAACTTTGCCATGGAAAGAAACCTCTGAGCCAGGAATGCCAAAAGCCAGATTTTTCTACCAAGGGGTTATGGGTTAGGAGTGACCTATCCCCACTGTCCATTTAGTCAGTACATTTCATCTTGAATCTCAGATGTCCTTTGTAGCCATTTTGTCTTCTGGAAGTATCTTCTCTTGGACATTTTTGTAAGGGACAGAATATCATCTTACAACATCAGCAAAGAAGTTACATTGTTTTAACAAGCTTGCAAAACCTTGCAAAAACAGGGAAACAGGGGAAAGGGCAAGACAATGACATGGGCCCTAATCTTTTAATAGACCCCAAAGTTCTAGAGAGCAGAACCGGTTTTAACCAGCCCTAAGTAGGACAAAGGGCATGGCTTTTGGAACTGTGCATGCTTAATTAGTTGATATAATATTAACTGACACGTCCTGAATAGAATTAGAGCCTCATTAACTGATCAGGTGAGGGACAGGGGAAACATGGGATGGGCGGGCCACAAAGATTGTAACCCAGAAAGGAGCGGATCAATCTGGGCCTGGAAGGGAGGA